TCTCCCTCTGACCCTCTCCCCTCTCATGTGCTCTCTCTCTCTCATTCTCTCTGTCTCAAATAAATAAATAAAATCTTTAAAAAAAAAAAAAAAGATCTTACCAAATAGAGAAGGGTAGGGCAGAGGACAGAGCCTATGTGATAGCACAAAGAAAACAAAGATGGTTGATTTGCTGAATCACCAGAAGTTTGCTGTGACTGGTATATGTTTAAAGAACTAGGTTGTGACCAGATTGTGGATTTTGGACTTGATCCTGTTATGTAATGTTATGTTATCCAAAGCTCTGTGTGCTCCTGGCAAGATCCCCAGAACCCACTCCCCCACCACCTACCCAAGCCTTGTAGCTTCAACAATCTGCCGAAGCAACCAGCAGAACTAAACATTCCATGCTTTGCACCCTTGTTCATGCTAGTAACTAGAGGAGGCAAATCCCAGGTCATACCTCATTTCTGAATATCATCCCATACAGCTGAACATATTTCCTAATCTAACTACTACTCAGATTTTGACTCAATAATCTATAACTGACTGTCCATCATTAGCAAAATCTCCTGTATATTCAGCCTCTTCTTATTGTTTCTCTTCATCATGTTGATCTCTAAAATAGGAAATTCCTAGGACTGGTTTTTGAATTTCTTCTCCATATTCAGTCCCTGAGTTCAGTCTCATTTGATCTCATGGATTTAAATACCATCTATAAACTGAGCATTTCCAAATTTAGATCACCTACTGGGTCCTCTCTGCTGAGAGAGTTCATGCATTCAAGAGCCAACTCAGTATCTTTATTTGGACACTTTGGCACCTCAAACATTACAAGTCAATCCTTCCACCCCAAACGCCGGCACCACCAGTCTAAACTACCACCAGCAGCCATCTTCTCATTTTCTCAGTAAATCACAACTCCTTCTCTTACTCAGGTTAACCTTGGAGTCATTCTTGACCCCTTTCTTTATCTCCCACCCCACATTCAGTCCAATAGCAAATTTGTTAGTTCTGTCATCAAGATATAACCAAAATCCAGCCATTCTCTCTAACACCATTATTATCCAGGCCACAATTCTCTTGCCTATGTTTTTGGAAGAACAGTAATAACTTTATTCTTCCCTCCCTCCCAATCTTAGTCAACGGTCCATTTCACTGCTCTTAGAATGATCATGTCACCTCTCTACTCAAAAATCCTCTAGTCATTTGCTATCTCACTCAGAGTAAAAACCAAAGACTTCAAAATGGTTGACCAGGCTTTCAGGACTACCCTTCCCAAGCCCTGCAACCACACTTTTCTAAATCTATTCCCCATCTGTCTTTCTCTTTAACCTGTCCATTTCTGCCACAGTGACCTCCTTGCCTACTCCTTCAACAAATATACTCCCCTCCCAATAAGGGGCATTTGCAACCCCTGCTATGCCTTTTCCTAAGACATTCCCATTTTTTTTAACTCCCTTCCTTTAGGTCTTTGCTCAAATAACACTTTATTTGAGAGCCCTTCCATGACCCTTTTATTTTCTGTTTCCTCCCAACATCCTATAGACTCTGTTTATTATCTTTTTTACTAGATTATAAATTATGTGAGGGCAGGGAATTTTTTATTTTGCTACTTTATCATAGTGTGTAACACAACAGAGAAGGTGCTCTATGCATATTTGTGGAAATAACAAACAAAAGAATTAATAAATGCAATAAGAAACCATTGAATATTTTAGGCAAATAATTTATTTGATCATATGTATTTTTTAAAATGATACAACTACGGGCACTTAGGTGGTGCAGTCAGTTAAGCGTCTGACTCTTGGTTTTAGCTCAGGTCGTGATCTCAAGGTCCTGAGATCGGGCCCCACATTGGGCTCCACACTTAGCTCACAGTCTGCTTGAGATTCTCTCTCCCTCTCCCCCTCGTGCTCATGCTCGCTCTCTCTCTCTCTCTAAAATAAATAATTTTTAATTAAAAAAATAAAATGATACAACTAGCAGAAGACTGTGTAGAGAAGAGATTGGAGACAGCACCATTTCTGTGGAAGCTGGTGAAATAATGCAGGAAAAAAGTAAAAAATGTATTAAGTAGAATGATGGTACTAAGAATAAAAAGGGCAAATGAGAGAAATATTGGCAAAGCCACACTGACAAAAATGTATAGTGAGAAATGAAGTATGATTCAAGTAAAATGTCAAGCATTGGCTGGTGGGACAGGAAATAAAACAGCAATAGAAAATCCAGAAGGATACATTTAAACTTTTATAACATTATAAAAGTTATAATCATGAAAACAAAATTAAATGCTTACATAAGCATTTTTTTTTCAAGACTAAAATTGTTTTGTTTTTTTTTATTCTTATGTTAATCCCCATACATTACATCATTAGTTTTAGATGAAGTGTTCCATGATTGTTTGTGCATAACACCCAGTGCTCCATGCAGAATGTGCCCTCCTCAATACCCACCACCAGGCTAACCCATCCTCCCACCCCCCCTCTAGAACCCTGTTTGTTTTTCAGAGTCCATCATCTCTTATGGTTCGTCTACCCCTCCGATTTCCCCCGCTTCATTCTTCCCCTCCCGCTACCTTCTTCTTCTTTTTTTTTTCTTAACATATATTGCATTATTTGTTTCAGAAGTACAGATCTGAGATTCAACAGTCTTGCACAATTCACAGCACTTACCAGAGCACGTACCCTCCCCAGTGTCTATCACCCAGTCACCCCATCCCTCCCACCCCACCCCCCACTCCAGCAACCCTCAGTTTGTTTCCTGCGATTAAGAATTCCTCATATCAGTGAGATCATATGATACATGTCTTTCTCTGTTTGACTTATTTCACTCAACATAATACCCTCCAGTTCCATCCACGTCGTTGCAAATGGCAAGATCTCACTTACATAAGCATTTAATTAAGGGCTATAAGACAACATTTATCTTAAAAAATCTACAGACTGGAAGTATAATACCAATCTGAGAAAATTTTCAGATGCACAGATAATGCTACCAATATCAAACTGATAATTTTAACTTAAAATAGGTAATCCTTTTTTTCCCATCTTTTTAATCCATTTTTCTTTCTCTTCATCCATGTGTACTACAACACTTATAGAATGATCAGTCCTTCACTTACTGCATAAATAAGACCTTTTCTTTATTTTTTAACTGGCTATGATTATGACTCTGCATTTTGAAGTGATGTATACATAACTAGTCATAATCTTAGGATTCCCATATGTTTGCAAAAATTTAGGATTAATGAATGCCAGACAGTATAGATAATTTTTATTGATTTCTGCTATTCACATTTCATTATAAGGGAAAAATTAGGCATATTTTACTGTCAAGATTATTATCTTTAATAAAACTATATCCATCAGTTTTCCATTTTTAAAAAGCCATTAAGCTTGGTAGCTTGGTTTGTCATAATTGAATGTTGGTATTATTGGCATTTACACATCTTCTGAGTAAAACTTCTTTGATTTTTAGGAAAGATTAGCAGAAGAAATTGAAAAGCTGAGATCTGAACTTGACCAATTGAAAATGAGAACTGGCTCTTTAATTGAACCCACAATATCAAGGTAATAGTAAATTAAAATCTTATCTATAGCTCACCAAAAATCAATATGAATTTTTTATGATTTCATATTGCCTCAAATAAAATAAATAAGTACCTCTTATTGCTCAGCAGGCATTGCCCTATGTTCACTCCTGACTGATTTACTGTTTCTATATTCAAAAATCATTCTCTAATTTAGTAATCTGTCCTGCAAATATGCAATAAAAATTTAAATTATTACCTTTTGTATTCTGCATTTAATTACATAGCTATAAATACATAAAAAGAGTGTTCAATGAAGAAATGGAACTGTATATAAGGAGATTACATCTCATTCTAGGAAGCGACAACACCTCTTTTCTCTACATGCAGAAATGTTTTCAATGCTTAATGTTACTGAAGAAATATCATTAATTATGGTCCCTTAGCACCTACCTCTTTTGTTAAATTAATTGCAGATACAGAGTGAAGGAGAAATTATACATGTTTTAAAAACAAATATGTTTAGCCATACTCATCTACTTTGACTCAATACCTCATCTTGAAAGAAAGAAGCAATGATATGATTATTTACTCTCTAGATAGATAGATCAATCTTGATAATTCACATATAATTTTCTTTTGTGCTAGGGCCTTTTATTTAAGGTTAATAAGAAACCCTACAAGGATTTACTTATTTGATTATTTATTTAACAACACAATCATATCAGCTATCTGAAACTTTTGACCACCACAGACTTTTAGAAGTTCATTTTTCTTGGTCTTATACTTATCCTAAGAATGTTAGCTCCACAGAGGCTGGAATTTTTGTTTGTTTTGGTTACTATAATCTCAGCACCTAAAACAAACAAATAAACAAACAAACATTGGTATATTATACTCACAATAGATATCACTGAATGAATGAATACCTAATAAAGCATTTTTCAGATACTCAAAGGAGAAATCCAAGTTAAAAAAATTCAAAAGGTGCTTATATCCTCTTTAATGTAAGTATTAATAAAAGTAATAATGTAAGTATTAATAAAAATCAAGGTGCTTATATTCTCTTTAATGTAAAGTATTAATAAAAATAAAATTCAGCATTTTGAGTATTTCTACCTTCAGTTTAATATAAGAAACAGTTCTGCAGGCACGAAAACACCCAAAGAACTTTTAAAAATGTAGGTCTTTAATTTAGAAAATCTTGTTTATTTGTCTAAATGCTTTGTTATGATTTATGTATCTGAACTGAAGCTATTTTTAATTCAGTGATATATATTCACAAGGTGGTGATGATGACAATGATGGTGTTGATGAAGGGCAAGAGCTTATAAAAAATATCAACAGAGTGAATACCTAGAATGAGCATCATCCAGTCAACAAGTTTAATATTTTTAATAGAGCCAAATGGCCATTTTGTTGGCTTTTTGACCTTTGGTCTCAGAAGTACAGAGTTGTATTTTAAAAAGGGAGGGTCCTGGGGTGTGAGGAGAGAGACAAACAAAAAACCAGACTCTTAACTATAAAGAACAAACTGGTGGTTACCAGAGGGAAAGGCGATAGGGGGCTGGGTGAAATAGGTAAAGAGGATTAAGAGTACACTTATTGTGATGAGTACTGAGTAGTGTATAAAATTGTTGAATCACTATATTGTACAGCTGAAACTAATATGACACTGTACATTAATTATACTGGAATTAAATATATACATACATATCATTGGGGAAAAAAACAGAGTTGTAGAAGTATTGTCTAAAATTTCATCGCTGCAGTGAGTCATCATGGACAGCCTAATAATGGGACACTTATCCACAACGAAGGATCATCATGGAAGCTTGGGAAATACATATAGAACAATTCTTCTCTGATACAACAGCTTGTAGTAGAAACAAAGCTAGACCAAGAATAAGAAGACTGACATCCCTAGGTCTAAGACAAGCTATTACTAGCTGTTTGATTTTGGAAAGCCTATTTTCCTTAATAAGTTCAAATTTCATATGTATTTTACATAAATTGTATATAAAATAATATTTTTATGACTATCTCACAAGCTTACTCTGTGACATGTGATCAAAAGGGGGTTTTGTAAACAGTAAATCATAAGTATAAAGTATTATAGGAATTACTGATAGATAAACTGATGGGATGGAATTATATTATGGTATAAGATAACAGTATTTATTGAACAGCAATTATAAACTGATGGGATGGAATTACAATATGTTATAAGATAACAATATTTATTGAACAGCAATTATTTATCAAACATCCATGCTTCTGAGCACACAATTTAAAAAGAAATTATAAAGAAAACAGAAGATGCATGAGAATTTCATTGATCATACAGGCAGAGAGGTAGGAAGAGATGAGCTAAAGTTGGTGAATATCAGTAACTAATATCCTCTACTAGTATCTCATCTGAGAATAATAAATGGCTGGAGGGTCTGATTTAGCTCACCTTTGAAGAAAGGTAGGATCTGGGTCGTTAGAAAGGACAATGGAAGACATTTCAGGAATCTTAGAGATGGGTAAAAGATGTTCTCTAAGAAAATTCAGACTTGATTTATCTATGGAAGTTCTTTGGTGAGATTATATGCAAGAGTTACAGGAGATTCAGGTGGGGAAACTGCAAGGGTTCATATCTAAAGGAACCGGTAACTATATTGTAACTTAGACCTCCGAGTGACTCAAAATATGGTACACCAAAAATTATTTAAAAGTTGAAATGTATGGAAATATTGACTCTGATTTCTGTTAGTAAAGTAGCTCATGGAGTTGAATAAAAGAAGAGAGGTGAGCGGTAACTGCTTTAGATGAAGTGTAAGCAATGGGCTCTTCTAAAGTTGCGTTGGTTCAGGCCTTTTGCTCTTTCAAGATCAATTATGCACTTTCTACTTGCAAGAAACTGCATTGGAGATATAGTGGTAACGGTGACGAAGAATGCATGTTTCAAATGGGAAATACAGGGATACTGTGAGGACAATTACAATAGAGGGGCTACAATAATATAAGACAATGGGAATTTTAATCTGAGACTTTAAAAGTGTTAACCACATAAACGTGTGACGACTATTTCCAGCAGAAAGAGCAGTATGTTCAAAGGCTTAGGATTAGAGGAAAGTGTGAGTTGTTCGAGAAATTGAAAGAAAGTCTGTATGGCTGGAGAGAGAAGAGGCAGATAGTAACTAGAAGTGAAGCTGGAATAAGAAGGAGGGTTCTAGATTGTCGAGGGCATTGTAAGGCCATTGAAGAGTTTTAAGCAGTGCGTCAATAGGAGCAGATCTGTGTTTTGGTTCATGTTTTTATAATTGACTTGGAGTTGAGAGATAAAACAACAAGAAAACAATACTCCAAGAATGATGAGTTATAATTTTAGAATCTCCACTCTGATGACCATAGAGATATTACCCAGGCAGTGACAGAAAAAATGTACTTAGAATATTCTGAGATAGACAGTTTAGACTGTATAATAATTAATTTCATTCATTCATTATCTTACCAAATATTTATCAAGTGTTTATTATATGCTAGAAATACCTCCTTAAGCATACAGTGGTGATTAAAATCTGACCTTTGTCTTCATGAAACACAGACCCTGTTATAGAGGCTGAGAGAAGTCCTATTTATGAGTATAACTTGGTTCATTAGTTTTTATATATGACTAATCCATAATAAAACCAGTTTGCTTGATTAAATTTGAAGCTCACCACTATAAAAATGAACAGCTATCCTCTACTTGGGGAATGATTTCTTAGTCCATTTGCTTTAAAGTTCTATTTGACAGAACCAGGATTTGCATCAGTTAGGTCAGTGTCTTCTACTGTTGCAAAAACCTAGAACTTACCTAACCTTTTCTAATCTTGCCTATCATTTGGAAATGGTTGGTTTTTCCCTTTTCTTTTTCCACAAAGAGAACTAATAGAAAGAGCATAGTAGATCATCAGGACCTCCAGTTCAAAAGAAAATACAGCACTAAGCATATTTCGTACTGATGATAGAGCATTTTATAGGACAGCACGCTGTCACTGTTCTCATAACGATTATAGCAATAAACTGAATTTGTTGTAAATCTCTCTATAAATAATGTGTCTGGAGAAACCTTTATTACACTTTGATTACAGTGTACTTTATTATCATGTTTATTGAAAACCAGTGTGATAATATTTTTCTATTGGAATTTTCCAACTATTTCATCTCTAAGCAGATTTCAGAATCAAATGTGCTTATCAAAAGATTTTTCTTTATCTTTTTGAAACAGTGTCTTAACAAAAGCTGAAAAATTATCTGGTGGTATGTCCTATTTTGTTAAAAAAATAAAGGGATACAGCAATAAATAACATATGTTGATATGTACACTAAATACTTCAACAAAAAAGAATTGCCAGAATTTAAGCCAATGGATCTTGGTTGTCCATCTTAACATGTTTAATTTTACTACCACAATTGAAAGTGATAATTAATGAACAAACAGATTTTTTCTATTCTAAACAGAAAATTCACTTCACTTTCGGGAATGAACCTGAGACTGGAATTTTTGACATAAGCCTCAGAAGAGACCTCAAAGAATCATGACAATTCATCAGTTTTCTTCCTTGAATTTTTCTTTTTTCTTGAGGGTTTATGCTTTATTCTTTATTGACAATTAAGCAGTTGATAGTGATTTGCTGGGAAGTTTAACTTTTGCGATTGGTCATGTTTCGTATTTTTCCTTTTTCCAGAACTCATCTAGACACCTCAGCTGAGTTGCGGTATTCTGTTGGATCCCTAGTGGACAGCCAGTCTGATTACAGAACAACTAAAGTAATAAGAAGACCCAGGAGGGGCCGCATGGGTGTGCGAAGAGATGAGCCAAAGGTTAATTTTTTTTTTTTATTTCAAGTCTTTGATGATTCTAAGTAAATATCTTACTCCATCTTGAATAGAATTTTAATACTGAGAGAATTCCAACTGCTAGCATTTTTAGTTTCAAGCATGACATATGACATATTTTTAAAACTATAACTAATGCAAAACCACTGCTATGTACCAGAAGTTAAACTAAGCATTCCCCATGCATGTATCCACATAACCTTTTGAATTTGGTTCTATTTTTATGCTAACTTCAGACATAAAAAGATTGAAGCTCAGAAATTTTAAGTGTTCAACATTATACAGCCAGCAAAATGATAGAGTCAAAACTTGAACCTTTATTTGTGTGGTTTCGAATTCCATGCTTTTTTATCCCTTATGCTGTATTGCCAAACAAATGGACTCTTGGTTTGCTTGGGCACTTATGCAATGGTATTCATATTGTTAATTAAGATTAATTAAATATTTTAATTATAATTGCTATTTTAATAAAACTTTGAGGAAAATGTACATAGACTATTGAAAGTGTTTATAGAGAACTCTTCATGATAAACTGCAGTGCCAATCTTCATTCGTTCGCTACATATAAGCCATGTATATTGTAAGTGTCGAGTGGCATTTTATAGAGAAGTACTATAGTTCCTTTGTGCCCTAAGTATAAGTTGTTCTCCGCAACCACTTTCATGTGTTGAATACTATATAACCTAATTGTCCTTACTTGTATACAGGTCCTTGATACCCTATGGTTTTTAATTGGTACCTATGTCATGTATAAATTAATCCTTCATAGTAGGCATTCAATATCTGTTAAATGAATGAATAAGAAGTGAACAAATGAAGAATAAATCAAGTCCATCTTAGTTCTTTTCTCATTTGTATATGACAAATAAATTAGTGCTACTTGGTACCAAAAAAATTTATAACACAAATGCTAATTCAGGTCCTCAAATCTTAAATAAATACTGTGGTATTTACATGGGGTCCCCCCTCAGAAAATCATTTTACATCATCACAAAAATGAAAACCAATTTTTTAAAATGCAGAAAACTCTAGGTCCCCTCTCTCTTACTTCCCTTCCTCTCCTACCCTCAGATAACAGCTTGAAAAACACCAATAGATATATTATCTTTGGGGGCACCTGCCTGGCTTAGTCAGTAGAGCATGCAACTCTTGATCTTGGGGTCATGAGTTGGAGCCCCACATGGGGCGTAGAGATTACTTACAAAAAAAGATTTTCATTCACATGAGGGATTTCTTATATCAAATAAAAACCATAGTCATGTACATTAGTGTGCCTTGGGCTTAAAAAATCAATGAAGCATTTAAGTGATCAGAGAAGTAGAGATGAAATTAAATCACTTTTCAATATTATTTTAATTATACTTTGTTAGAATCTATGTAAATGAATGTTGGGGAGAGAATTATTATATAACTAGTGTGATAATATTTGCAGTCTCAGTCTATAATAAGAAAGTGTAAGTAAAACTAATATAAGAGATGGAAATGCTCCAGTACAAGTGAATAGAGATTGTTATATTTGGAAAGAAGGAAAAATGTTTCAAACATAGATGCTTTAAAGTGATTGTTAACTTGAATTGGGGTTGAACTAGAAATCATGCATAAGTTTATCATCATTATTCCTATTAAAATCTTGGTATTTATGCTGACAATTAATATCTGCCATTACTTAAGATGTCAAGGAAATATTTTATTGAAACAATGCATTAAAATGGTAATAATCAGTTCTGCTTTTGCTAGGTAAACTATAAAGCATGGGTGCTTTTTGTTGATATTTTTCAGAATAGTGCTTTAATAATGAGCAATATGATACATATGGTAATTACTCATTTACCACACAGGTGAAGTCTCTTGGGGATCATGAGTGGAATAGAACTCAGCAAATTGGAGTGCTAAGCAGCCACCCTTTTGAAAGTGACACAGAAATGTCTGATATTGATGATGATGACAGAGAAACTATTTTTAGCTCAATGGATCTTCTCTCTCCAAGCGGTCATTCTGATGCCCAGACTCTAGCCATGATGCTTCAGGAACAATTGGATGCCATCAACAAAGAAATCAGGTGAGTTCAATTATCACTGATGGTTTTAAAGGATTAGAAGACCTTGATACTGGGGCGCCTGGGTGGCTCATTCGGTTAAGCGACTGCCTTCGGCTCAGGTCATGATCCTGGAGTCCCGGGATCGAGTCCCGCATCGGGCTCCCTGCTCGGCAGGGAGTCTGCTTCTCCCTCTGACCCTCCTCCCTCTCATTCTCTCTGTCTCAAATAAATAAATAAAATCTTTGAAAAAAAAAAAAAGAAGACCTTGATACTAAAAATGAGATAATTAAACCAGAAGCACAGGCATCATCTGGGAACCTTTGAATTTCAAAGCACTTTTTACATTTAAATTTACTGTTTAAATGATATTTGTGGTAATAAGGTACATTCTTAAGGTACATTTAACACTGCCATAAAGGTACTAAATAGTATGCAATTAATATGCAGCCAGCTAGGGCGCCTGGGTGGCTCAGTTGGTTAAGCGACTGCCTTCGGCTCAGGTCATGATCCTGGAGTCCCTGGATCGAGTCCCGCATCCGGCTCCCTGCTCGGCGGGGAGTCTGCTTCGTCCTCTGACCCTATCCCCTCTCATGTGTTCTCTCTCTCTCAAATAAATAAATTAAAAAAAAAAATCTTTAAAAAAATAAAAAAAATATGCAGCCAGCTCCTTAAAACTATTTAGACATCAGAGTGAAATTAACTAGGACTGAATTATTTCATAGTAGATATGAAAAAAATGCACTATCACCACAGTGGATAATAGATGGTTTCCAAAGAGTAGATTACATTATAGAGTTGAAGTTGTGCAAGTTATCAATTCAAACATTGAGAACTGTTGATAATTTCAATTTTTAACTTAATATATACTGTCTCAAATCCCAATGATGTTAGTAGTCTTTACTTATCATTAACTTGACTAACCCCAGTAAAAAACCTAACTGTGTCAGGTGGATTTACAGTCTTTCAAACATCGGGAAACTACTCTTAACTTGTTTTTTCTCAATGGATGAACAGTTTTTTAATATTTTGAACAATGGGTTTTGTTTGTTTGCTTGTTTTTCTGGCTCTAGCTAAGTGTGTTACCTCCTAATACAATTCACATCTATCCAGTTCTCTTCTATCATCAGCCTATTGCACATTATAATAGGTTCTCATGTAGATGACAATAATTCTTTCTGGTTTCCTCACGGTGTATGGGTTCCCATCTAATCCAAAGTAACACTGCAACCAGAGAAGACTTTTTTAAAACCCAATGTGCTTAGGTAAAGTAACCCTTTTTCAAACCCTTCAGTTGCTCTTAAGATAAAGAACAAAATACTCCATATTGTCTACAGTGCCCCACCTTCCTCAACATTCTCACCTACCTGATTCCATGTTCCATTATACATGACTTCCAGTTCTTTGAATCTTCCTTGCTCTCTCCTTTGTGGTTGCTGTTCCTTTCTTCTAGAACATTCTCCTCATTCCACACCATTGTCCCATAACATTTCACCCTCTTTACTCTTACCACCATCCCTTCTTCTGTTCCTCAGTTCATTTTACTGTCTTTCTTACCTTCATTAGATTGTAAATTATATAAGAACAAGAAATATATCTTGTTTTGCTCACTGTCTTTTATATCCAGATATTAGCACTTTTCTTGATAAATAGAAAGTGTTTCATAAATATTTGATTAGTATAAATAGAAAAAATAATATAGAACATAAATTCAAACTGAATGACATTTTTTGATGCTACGGAGCTAATGATTTAACACACTGAGTAGATTTGAAATCGAGTATGTATCTGTGATATTTGTTTTCATCGAGAATATATACACACACCCTCAATAACAACCCATGTCCCTCTAGGACCTCAACTTTGTTACCTTAGGGTAGTAAAGCCCAGTTATAGTCTTGGTCTAGACTAATTAAGTTGATACCCTTTTATATGTTTCCTTGCTGACCCTAATAATGTATTTAATATAGTTGCTAGTTTTTAAGAAATTAAGAACTACATATAATTCAAGTATATAGCAACATTCAAAAGAAATAAGCATCTTGGACAGCAGGGGAAGATGGTGGAGTAGGAGGACTCTAAGCTCATCTCATCCCATGGATACAACTACAACACTCACATAAGTGAATATAACCCAGAAAATGATCTGAAGACTGGAAGAACAAATTCCACAACTAAAGGTAAAGAATATATCTGTAAAAATTAGTCAAGGGATTCACAAAATAAAAGGATGTAAAATATGATACCATATACCTAAAATGTGGTATGGAGAGGATTAAAGAATGGGTTGAAACTTAAAAATGAGTCAATGGAAAAATCAAAAAGAAATTAAAAATTACATGGAAACAAATCAAAATGAAAATGCAATGGTCCATAATCTTTGGGATGCAGCAAAAGTGGTTCTAAGAGGAAAGTTTATAACAATGCAAGCTAGAAGCAAGAAAAATCTCAAATAACCGATCTAACTTTACACCTAAAGGAGCTAGAAAAATAACAAACAAAACGCAAAACCAGAGAAGGAAGGAAATAATAAAGGTTAGAGCAGAAATAAATGATATAGAAACTAAAAATAAAGGAACAAACAAAAACTAAAGAAGAGATAAATGAAACCAGGAGTTGATTCATTAAGATCAACAAAATTGATAAACACTTAGCTAGACTCAAAAATAAAATAAAGACCCATATAAACAAATCACAAATGAAAGAGAAGAAATAATAAGCAACACCAAAGAAATACAAACAATTGTAAGAGAATATTATGAAAAATTATACGCCAACAAATTGGACAAACTTGGAAGAAATGGATAAATTCCTAGAAATGTATAACCTAAAGCAAGAAGAAATAGAAAATTTGAACATTTGAAGAAGAGGTAATACCAATTCATTTCAAACTATTCCAAAAAATATAAGATAAAGGAAAACTTTCAAATCCATTCTATGAGGCCAGTATCACCCTGATACCAAAACCAGATAAAGACATCACAAAAAAAAAGAGAACTATAGGCCAATATCTCTGATGAACATAGATGCAAAAATTCTCAACAAAATAGTAGCAAACCAAATCCAACAATACATTAAAAAAATCATTCACTACAATCAAGTGGGATTTAGTCCCAGAATGCAAGGGTGGTTAAATATTCACAAATCCATCAATGTGATATATCACATCAATAAGAAAAAGGATAAAAACCATATGATCATTTCAATAGATGAAGAAAAAGCATTTGACAAAGTACAATATCCATTTATGATAAAAACCCTCAACAGAGTAGATTTAGAGGGAAAATATCTCAACATAATAAAGACTTTACATGAAAAACCCACAAAAATATCATACTCAGTGATGAAAAACAGAGCTTTTCCCTTAAGGTCAGGAAAAAGACAAGTATGTCCACTCTCACCACTGTTACTCAACATAGTACTGGAAGTCCTAGCCATAGCAATTAGACAACAAAAAGAAAGAAAAAATGTCCAGATTGGTAAGGAAGAACTAATACTTTCACTAATTGCAGATGACATGATACTATATATAAAAAAACCCTAAAGACTCTACCAAAAAACTACTAGAACTAATAAATGAATTCATTAAGGTGGCAGGATACAAAATCAATGTACAGAAATCTGTTGCATTTCTATACACTAATAATGAAGCAATCCCATTTACAAATGCACTAAAAAAATAATGAAATATGTTGGCATAAACTTAACCAAGGAGGTGAAAGACCTCTACTATGAAAACTATTAAATGTTGATGAAAGAAATAAAAAACAACATAAAAAATGCAAAGACATTCCATGTTCATGGATTAGAAGAACAAATATTGTTAAAATGTCTATACTACCCAAAGCAATCTACAAATTTAATGCAATCCCTATCAAAATACCAATAATATTTTTCACAAAACTAGAACAATCCTAAAATTTGTGTGGAACCACAATAGACCCTGAATAGCCAAAGCAATCTTGAAAAAGAAAAAACTGGACATATCACAATTCCAGACTTCAAGTTATATTACAAACCTTTAGTAAAACAGTATGGTATTGGCATAAAAATAGACACATAGATCAATGGAACATCATAGAAAACAAAGAAATAAACTCACAAATATATGGTCAATTAATCTTAGAGGAGGAAAGAATATACAATGGGAAAAAAACAGTCTCTTCAACAAATAGTGTGAGAAAACTGGACAGCTACATGCAAAACAATGAAACTGGACCACTTTCTTATACTATACACAAACAAATTCAAAATGGATTAAAGATCTAAATGTGAGACATGAAACTCTAAAAATCCTAGAAGAGCGCATAGGCAGTAATTTCTGACATCAGCCATAGCAACATTTTTCTAGATATGTCTCCTGAGACAAGGGAAGCAAAAGCAAAAACGAACTATTGGGACTACATCAAAATAAAAAGCTTCTGCACAGTTAAGGAAACAATCAACAAAGCTAGAAGGTAACCTACGGAATGGGAGAAGATATTTGCAAATGACATATCTGATAAAGGGTTAAATTCAAAATATATAAAAAATTTATACAACTCAACACCCCCCCAAAAATAAATAATCCAATTAAAATGGGTAAAAGACATGAACAGACATTTTTCCAAAGAAGACATACAGATGGCCAACAGACACATGAAAAGATGCTCAACATCACTAATCATCAGAGAAATGCAAATCAAAAGCACAATGAGATACTACTTCGCAACTGTCAGAATGGCTAAAATCAAAAACACAAGAAATAGCAGGTGTTGGTGAGGATGTGGAGCAAGGAGAATCCTCTTACACTGCTGGTGGGAATGCAAACTGGTGCAGCCACTCTGGAAAACAGTACAGAGGTTCCTCAAAAAGTTAAAAAGAGAACTACCCGAGACACCTGGGTGGCTCAGTCAGTTAAGCATCTGCCTTTGGCTCAGGTCATGATCCCAGGGTCCTGGAATCAAGTCCCACATTGGACTCCTTGCTCAGCAGGGAGTCTGCTTCTCCCTTTGCCTGCCGCTCCCCTTGCTTGTGGGCTCTCTCTCTCTGACAAATAAGTAAAATCTTTAAAAAAAAAAAAAATAGAACTGCCCTAAGATCCAGTAATCACACTACTAGGTATTTACTCAAAAAATACCAAAACACTAATTCAAAGGGATTCATGCAACCCTATGTTTATTGCAGCATTATTTACAGTAACCAAACTATGGAAACAGCCCAAGTGTCCATTGATAGATAAATGGATAAAGAAGTGGTATATACATACAATGGAAAATTATTCAGCCCTAAAATAGAATGAAAACTTGGGGCACCTGAGTGGGTCAGTTGGCTAAGTATCTGACTCTTGATTTCGGCTCAGGTCATGATCTTAGGGTTGTGAGATTGAGCCCTGCCTCAGGCTCTGCATGGAGCCTGCTTAAGATTCTCTTGCTGGAGAAGAGGTGGGTGGGGGGATGGGGTAACTGGGTGATGGGCATTAAGGAGGGCACTTGAACTAATGAGCACTGAGTGTTATATGCAACTGATGAATCACTAAATTCTACCTCTGAAACTAATAATACAGTATATGTTAATTAAATTGAACTTAAATAAAAAATTTTAAAAAAAGAAATGCACATGTTGCAGGTGTACAACATAAAAAAAAATCCCCCTCTCCCTCTGCCCCTCACCTCCCCTCACTCACATGTGTGCATCTGTGTGCGCTCTCTTTTTCGCTCTCTCAAAAAAAAAAAAAAAAAAGAAAAAAAAAAAAAAAAAAAGAAGAACGAAATCTTGCCATTCGCAACAACATGGATGGAGCTAGAGAATATAATGCTAAGTGAAGTAAGTCAGAGAAAGCCAAATACCATACCATCTCACTCATATGTAGAATTTAAGAAACAAAACAAACGGGCAAAGGGAAAAAAGGGAGGCAAACCAAGAAACAGACTCTTAACTGTAGAGAACAAACTGATGGTTACCAGAGGGGAGAGGGTGGGAGGGTGGGTGAAATAGGTGATGGGGATTAAAGAGTACACTTATCATGATGAGCACTGAATATGCATGGAAGTGTTGAATCACTATATTGTACACCTGAAACTAATATAACACTGTATGTTAAACTATACTAAAATTAAAATTTAAAAACTTATTATAAAAAAGAAATAAGCATCTTCATAAAAACAGTGACAATGTCTTCGTAAAAACTGCTAACACTAACTAGAATTTATTTCTGGTTAAGATTTTTCTTCTTCCACAAACTATTCTAACCATTAAAAAAAACTTCCTCTTTTCTGGTTTCCTCAGTTTACTTATTCTCCCTTAAAGGAAGGGATCAAATTACTTCATTTGCCACTGTCCTGTTTGTTAGTTAATCTGTGCATCTATAGTTAGCTACTGTTTTGAGTGCCTTACTTTTGTGGTCTTATTTATTATTTTATCCTTTTGTATGATTTATATGGGACTCTCTCCCCAACACATTAGGACATTTCAAAGGGAATCTATTTTGTGTCTTTCTTTCTTTCATTTTCTTTCTTTCTTTTTCTTTTTTTCTTTCTTTCTCTTTCTTTCTTTCTTTCTTTCTTTTCCTTCCTTCCTTCCTTTCTTTTCTTTCTTTCTTCCTTCCTTCCTTTCTTTCTTTTCTTTCTTCCTTTCTTTCTTTTCTTTCTTTCTTTTATTCTTTTTCTTTCTTTTCTTTCTTTCTTTCTTTCTTTCTTTCTT